ACAGCTCGTAATGTCTTATCCGATCAAATTCTCTTCCTACCAGAGTGATAAGGAGGCTGAGGCTCGCGCCAGGGTAGTATGGCTTTTCGAGCGGTATCGTTCCGGGTGCAATTGCCTTTTCGAAAGAAAGTAACCACCTCTTGGTCAATGACGGTCAACCAAGTACCGAAGGCTCGCTTATAGCTATGCTAAGGCTAGATGACGGAGTTTGATCGAATGTGTCTCATCCAGAATAAAAAGAAGAAGTCCTGCAACCAGCTATAGGCGTCTGCAGTTATTGTACATTTTGGATAAGCTTTGTCCGAAGGTTTCTGTTCGGTGACGATTCTGAAGGGAGTCAAAGAAGCGGCAAACCTTAAATGGTTTCCCTGCACACGGGCATCTTGCCTTTGCAGTCACTGGGTAGAGTAGAATCACCAGTAGTACCCATGATTCCCTACCCACAAGTGCGTGCTGATCACGCACACGATACGGGGATCAAACCCCTCCCCTTGGCCTAATCGTGCCTTGCTTTTCCAGTAGGCATCAGAATCCTCTGGAACCATATGTGAGCACTGAATTTGGCATCGGTTGGTTCTTGCTAAACACATGCAGAGACCAAGTGCATTCAAATGCCCCTATAATTCTGAATGGAAGTGGAGTGGGTGGCTTGAACGGAATCTGTAGATTCTGTGCTCGGAACTTGCCCCCCCCCCCCCACTCCCACTCAAAGCGGTAGCTGCTCAAAGACCAATGGTCTCAAGAATCGTGCGCAAATCTGCAACGCTTTCTGTTCATTGCAAAGGCTACATTAAAACTTTTTAATACTGTAGATTCGTTTCCTCGCAGGCTCAAGCATCATTTGCACAATTCGAACGAACGGGTCGCATTTGTGGTTTTGAGATCGGGGGGGGGGGGAGGTCACATTTGGGAATGAGTCAGGATGATTACCTCTGGAAAAGGTGTGAATAGTATCACATTTTTAGATGTTGAGGGCTCGTCGTTGTGGAAAATGGGTTTGTTTCTAATGGTTTTTTCGATTTTGCCTAAAGTTTCACGAGAGTAGCGTAGATCAGGCAAGGTAGTGGGGGAGAGAATGGCAGGGGCCCTTTTAAGGGGCTGCAAAATTTTAGGATAGGTGCAAACGTACGCTTCACCCTGGTACCACGTCCTCAAAGTGGTAAGGCGAGACCGTCTACGAAAGTCTTAATGAGCAAAACTCTTCTATATATAAACAAAAAATTATGTGCACACAAGTGGAAATATTCTCCCCCGTACACATTGTGGCCATCACAAGATTTGCTGCATGACTGAAACTGAATGGTGTCAAAGGGGCCGGGAAAAGCACCACTTAGCTGCAAACATTCCTGTCCCATAAGGTTTTGTTTTCAGACTTGAAAAACTTTCTCTTGTCTCCTCAGGGGATTACCTCAAAGTCTTTCTAGATTAGCGCACCTTAGAGACTTACAGTAATCGGTCTCCTCGCCTTCGTGAGAGCCTGTGGCATTGGCCCGCATACGCGCCAACAAATACCACGACCTTTTTTCATTAGATGTGAGGTATTTCGCTACATTAAATTTCACCCTTAAAACGGCAGCACCTTCGTACTAACTTTGGTATGTGGCAAGTAGTAGTACTTCCCACTAACCTTCTACAAGTAGATTGAAGGTCGCAAAGGTTGAGGAAGGTTATGATCACATACTCCTCCTTTCTGTTCGGGTTTGAGGGCATTTAGCGGTAATCCGAAATGCATCCAACGTCTTGCGCGCCGCAATGTCGGGTTCTTGTGCCAATATGGACACTGAACCCAAACTATGAACCTCCATGGTACGAAACACCTGTATAGCTTTTGTGCGGGGCTATGGTGTTTGTGATCTATCAGCCCTACAGACAGGGCGGTATGCTGAATGGGTTGGGAGGGGAACGAGGAATGGGTAAATGGGGGAGGTTCGTCGCGGAACCACTGGGCACCTTTGATTTTGGAGCTTTGGTTTCCATCCTTTTACTGTTTCTGATTGTATATTCGCACGTAAATACCTTTCTTTACACCAAAAGTAGCGATGAAGAGAATGGAAACAAAGCTGCAAGAATCAAAGGTGCGGCCGTTGCCCAGTGGGCGTCTACGACGAACCTCCCCAACATTTTACCGAAGTAAGCAAACCAGCCCTCTTTGGCGTTTCTACTGGGGCCGTATGCTTAATGTTGGGAGGGGAATGGGGATCCCGACGGTCAACGGACTACTTCAACTAGTCCTTGGAACCGCCTCCATTTGATGCTTACCTCAGGACTAAGCCTTGAAAGAGAGGACGGACCTGCGCTCTCTCGCCTCTCTTCAAGGCTTAGTCCTGGATAAGCAAACCAGCCCTTTTGGCGGAGCTGCTGGACCTAGCTGCACCACTTCGTCATCACTCTCCTACCGTACCGACCGAGTTTGAAGTAGTCCGTCGACCTCGGGGACCCCATCCCCTCCCAACATTCAGCATACGGCCCATGGTGCTTGATTATCACGCATAGGGACCTATTTCTGCTATATACTCACATCTACAACGCTGACAGCGTTTACGCCACCTTAACCTGCTTTAATGGCATACCCCATTAGTTAGAAGAGTCGCATACGGTATCCTGGAATCGACTGCAAACAAGATGCCTCGAAGGGTATATGTGTGGGGTGGTGCTTCGGTAATGCCTATATCGCCTTGAAAAGCGCACCGATTCGCAATTGTCGGACGATCGCTCATTTGTTCCAAAATGAAAGGTAAAGGCAAAGGTGCAGGTTAAGCTTTTGATTGGAGCAGCGAAGTTTTGGCAGTGGACCAGCATTTTTGCAATAACTTTTGATGGCGAGCTTCTGGTAAATACAGCACTTAAAAATCAAAAACAACTCAGAACTGATAACAATGAATTATTTAGATGTGTCATTACGTCCATCAGGTTTCTCAGGGCATGTGCAGTGCAGTGATGCTTGCTTTCCTTTCGCTTCCTTTCGTTCTTTTTTCTTATACCTCCTTATATCCTTTTCCAGCGGACTATGGCTCTATATATTGTATGTGAAGAGTGTGGAGGGAAAGTGTACGCGTGGAGAGTACAGGCGGCTCGCGCGGACGGGAGAGCGAAATGACGAACAAGAGCGCGGGTGACCGAACAAACAGATCTTCGACGAGCTTCTACGAATTTCGATCGATTTCTTCCTCTTCTAAACATTACTCAGCATTCCGATTTCAAATCATTAATTGTGTGCACAATCCGTATTCCCGCAACACTTTTTTCTTCCTGTATGGTATGAATCACTCGTAATTAAAGTTCCTTTTCAAGATCGCATGATCGTGATACGGCGGAATACCGCAACGACGCCGTCTGCAATAATTCCACCGATCTGTGACAGTCGCTTAGGCGTTTCCACCGATCTCATTTTATATTATAGGAGAAGAATTATAACTCGGTTAGACATAATACGACATATACAGGGGGGGGGGGCAAAAAAAGACATTTTGCCCAGGTCGCACTTCGGCCTTTTTTCTTCGCAGAGATTGCCGTCGTTGACGGAAGTTCCTCAGCAAAATATTCCCTAAATGTCCCTCTATAAGTACACGCAGGCCCTCCTTCACTGCCCTCACCGTCTTCAGAATATGACGTCATCTGTCACCGTCGTCGAGCTCAGGAGGCCTACAGTAACTGCTTCAGCCTGAAGCTCTTACATAATTTCTTGGATCGATTCAACGTGGGATAGTTTCCTAGGGACATTAGCTCTAACTATGCAAACCCCCTCGGAACCGCCCTTCGGAACCCGTCGTAACGGTACACGATCAGTCGAGAACCCCACTGAGCTCGACCAGAGACCATATTCGGGCAAACTTTTCCTGATGCCGTCCACGTAGATGGCCACTATGAAGATTTTCTTATGAAATGAATGCGCCTTCAATTCTTAAGTTGGGAGCTCATGCTTTGAGCCTGCAGCAAGTGTTAATTAAATTATTTGAGCCTGAAGACAAAATGTCTTTTTTTATTGCCCCTCTGTTTACAGAGCCGTCAAAAAATCAAACGGCGATGGTTTTTTTGTCACAACTTATGTCAAATTTGAAATTTTGGCTGATTTTTCGACATGCTACCATCAAGAGCATTCTAAAATGTTCTCAGAACTGAAGTTTTCAGGAACATTTCTTTTATTTCGGATTAACAAACATTTTTGACCTATAAAATGTCATCTATCTTATCACTTTCCTATAGCGTTCCTGTACGTTATCCCCTCCATTCACTAATTAATGGTCGTTTCTTAGGGAAACAGCCGTCTAGTAGCGTTTTTATCAATGTTGATATCAATTCGACAAATCCTTATAGTTATCACATTTATGTTATTTGCAATTCCATAAGGAAAGGGACTTCGATCAGCTCAATTATTCCAATTTATGTTACCAGATTAGTCCCCCGTCAACCGCCGGGACCTTCCTTTCCTGCGCAAGCTTTCTATCCTCCGCTATGGTCCCTTCCTCCTGTGACACCAACACCTCCTGGAAGTGACGCGTATGCAACACAATGGTGTTTCATACAGTAGAAGGGACACAATCATGATATGACGGTAGATTTTTCGCTTCCCTTCCTCATCCTCCCTTCCTCTCTCCACTGCCCTCCAGCTGCCACTGCAGCACCATGTGGAATGAACGGAAGTGTGCTAAGCAGGTGTTTATATAGCCCTAAGAGTGTTATCACAACTATCCTGCTACAAAACATTGATATCTCAAATCCCTGTAAGCTACCCGATTTGTTAGCGGTTTGTTTATCCCATGAGCTTCCTTCTCACTCACTTCATTTTGCGGACACACACACATACATACATACATACACACACACACACATACAGATACACAAACCGACACACAAAGTTAGCGCTTTATAAAATAGAAGGATTTATTTTTTATTTATTTGATAACTTCGTTTTTGTTTCCGGTTGATATGTATTATTGCGTGGAGAATTTTTGCAATCATTTTATTGCCATTATTTAATTCATTGAGTTGAATTTGTTCAGGTTGTGTTCGTTTCGTGGAAACTGTCACGCGAGACAAATATGATTGATTGGATAGGACTATTTAATTTTGGTAAGTGCTATCGATAATTGCTAACGGGTCATAGCACTCTTCAGTAGTTCTTCAATGGAAGGAAATCCGTCTCAAAATGCTTGTTAAAGCAGGAGATTACGACAAAGTGTGTGTGTATGCAGTGTGGAAGTACATGCACCAAGTGGAAGCAGTAGTCAGGGAGCCGAAGGAAGCGAAATGTGGCGTTTTTGTGGCCAAAGGTGCGCTAGTTGCAGTGTAGTGGGCTTGCCATTCCTTTCTGAGCTCCGCCACGGCCTGTGCTTCCTCTCCAGCTAAACTTAGTTGGGGGGAACACGCGGCAGCGCGGCGTATGCTCGTGGTGCGCTTTCAAGCAAGATAGCACTGCTACTAAGCCTTGGCAGGGATGAGAATGCCGTAGAGAGTGTGATCTTGCTCTATGCATGTTTGAACTGGAGTAACTCTGGAGGACACAGGAAAAGCAGGAACTCCGTGGGGGATAGTAACACTTCCCACAAGAGTTCCTCCTTTTCTTGAGGCTTAGTCCTAGTGAAAGAGGAACTGATTCGAGCCTATCACTAGGCCTTCAAAAGAAATCCTTAATACGAACTAACAAGGAGGGTCTTTCAGGGTGTGCCAAGCTTTTTCAAAACGGTCTTTTGCATGATATAGAGGCACATGCGGGAACCACAGAACCATGGTTAATTTTTCCTGAACGGCCCTCTGAATACCAGAAAAGGGGGTCCCTAGTCACACCTTTTTCACCAGTTTTTCAATCAAAGTCTATTTGTAAGGGTTACTGACGTTCCTAATCATGAATTTGGTACTAATTATTTCATGCTAACTCCATTTTGCGCGAATTTGGAAACGTCAACGAAATGCAAAAATTTGTCACCACGAGGAATCGAACTAGGGACCCCTTTTCTGGTATTCAGAGGGCCGTTCAGGAAAAATGAACCATGCTTCTGTGGTCCCCATATGTGCCCCAATGTCATGCAAGAAATGCAAGAACCATTTTGAAAAAGCTTGGCACACTATGAGCGAAATCCCTTGTTAGTGCTGTCCTACTTGAGAGGGCCCTAGACGAGGATAGCACTGCGCCACGCTACTTTCCCCGAAGCGCGCCAGGCGCAGCAGCAGCGCGACAATTCACAAAACACGTTCGCTGCGTGATCCCCCAACATAAGTTTACGCACCCCAGCTGCACGTCCTTCAATTATCTTTTTGTGAGGGAGTTTCGCTTGGTTGTTGCTAGCTCTCCATATATCGCGAGATCAACGGCATGAAAGGGGTTCCATTTGCGGCCGTTCTTCTCGATGGATTTCTTCTGCTTTTCTGTCACTTAACAATACTCTACACCAATATACTTCCCTCTTAACCAGCACAATCGCTTATCGTTATCCTTCGGCGTTAAGCCAAAAAGCTTATCTCTACGCTTTGGGAGCCTCGAGTAATAGTTGCTCTGAATGAAACCGTTCTTTTTCAGATGACGACAATCCTCTACACTACCTTGATCATAAAGGGCGTGGCGTCGTTGGACCTCAAGAGGGTACGGTAGCATGGAGTGTGATGCGTGCCAATCTACCACCTTCAGTTGACACTATACAATTCGGGTAAGTTGAAGTTCTGGGTAAGAAAATCGGTTATACAGTAAGCAGCGCTTGTCACCTGGTTGCCTTCAACCAGTGTTTCTGCTTCCTTTCTGTGAGAGGTAGAAGCCAACGGTTATTCTTGCTTCTAAGAAAAAATGACTAACGAGGGACAGTAGCAGTGGAAAGGGCCCATTTTCCACGCAAATGGCCCGGGGCTTTAACCTCACATACGGGCTCCAACTTGCCAAGCAAGCGCATTCCATGCCTCTGGGGTGGGGAAGATGGGTACCGGCATATTGAATTGATGAAAAAATTTGACTTGTACAGTCGGCTTGACTCCTGCAGTGTAGGCTATACCGGCAATAAATGCGCAATGCTGATTCTGTAATGGGAATCGAACTTGCGTTTGGCGCATCCTGAAAGGCGACATATCAAAACTATCTATTAAATGAATATAGAATCAAAAAAACTTGAGCTTTTATTCCTGAATCCTTCAAATGAATGATTGCTCCATCCTAAATTTGAGCTATTGAGAGGGTATGCGTGGGGCAGTGTTATCCAGTTACAATTGTTTACCAGAGAGCTCGTAAAACAGCAACGGGCTCCATTGTCCCCTTTTCCGGGCAGTGGATCGTTTGTCATCTTGACGTTCATGTCAGTCCAGGGCCTCGCTCAGTGCGACATTTTTCCAGCCGAAAATCGTTTCCATCACTCTTTTCATTGCCATTTAATTTTTCAGTGAAAAATTAAATAAAGGAAGAAGTTCTTTGATTTGGCTATCTTCCAATTATCGGACATGCATGTTTGCGAAATCTACGGGGACTTTCCAAACAACCCAATACTAGGGCTGGGTACATAAATAAATAAATAAAATAAATAAATAAATAATAAATAAATAAATAAATAAATAAAATTAAAACCAGCCATTGTGCCTATTTAGTTTCTTTCTGACTCAAGAATTCGCAGTACATAGAGTTCACTAGACCATTGAATAGCGAATTTGGTCCCCAGAATGGCCACGGAATAGAGGAAGAGAACGGCTGGAACAGGAACGGCTGGAATTCTCCAAGGATCCCACATTATTCTTTTTTTCTTTCCGCAGCATTTCTCTTGACCGCTGAGAAACCGACGTTGTTCACCGGCCAATTGACGAGGCCCAAGGGGTTTAGAAAAGCCCCTGGAATGTTCCGCCTTTCCATGAACCCGTTCTGTTGACAGATGAAGCAACTGATTCTCCAAATGCAACAGAAGTGAAGTTTGAAATCCAAAGGATGTTCGGGGCAGTGATAAAATCACGTGGAAAGAAGAGGCACATGGATAGCTTATTTTAATTGGGACCTTTTTAAGGACTTAAGACGCAGTGGCAGGTTCGTTTCTCGTCCTAAGCAAGGGTGCGAACCGACACGCAATTCCCAGCGAAGTATAGGATAGAAAGGATACGGCGAACTAGCATGGCCGTACCCGCGCCGCTCGTGCCTCTACACGCCCACCTATAGGAAACCCCTCGCCGCCCGACTTGGTCCGTTTAGCAGAGAAAGCGTTACGTTAAAGAGGGCAGCAACGATGGCAGTCGCATCATGTGGAAAACAACGGCATGGAGGAGGTCACATTTTTAGGGTTAAAGGCTGCTTTCATGGCTTCTTATTCATCCTGGCATCACGACCACCTCTGCCTTAATTCTGATGAGATGCCTTCTAATCGTGAATTGGCTTATAAACTCTATTATATTGTTCAAGCTAAGTTCCTTTCTCTCAAGTTCCTTTCTGCTCAATATGGATCTGAAAAAATGACTATGCATCTAGGTCGAGTTTGTTGTTGGAGAAATGCCTCCGAAAAAACGAGACCCCTGGTTTCTTGTTCACTCACTCGCTCCCTCCCATTCCCGGTCCATTTCTGTCAGGCACGAAACAGGGCGATTTGTTTCCGAGGACTGACGCGAGTTTCAAGCAGAGAAAAACCGCGCCTTTGGAGCAACGCCCATACATCTTCGTCTTCACTTCAAATTCCTAACGGAATAACTGTGCGCGACACTTGCGCTTCCCTTACACAAAAAGAAAACCAATTTCAGCCCAATTTCGCCGCTGGTGGCGCCTCTCTAAGTGAAATTCGGTCGCATCCATCACTCAGGAAATTCCTCAATTGTTTTTGCGTTTATGATTATTACAAGGCTATCGCTTGTTGGCAAATGGGCGTCGAAAAAAAGCTCTGAACGAAAAATTGGTTGAAGGAGAACACAACAATCTATCGGTGCATAACGGATTGCTCCCTCAAAACTAATGGCACTAACTAATGGAGCCGTATGGAGTTCCTACCACAAACGTTTTTCTCTATTAGATAATCAATAAGTCAATCGGCTGGTAAACACTCGATAACTACTTGTATTATTTTCTGTGATTGGCCAATGAATAAATAAATAAAATAAATAAATAACATGAACACCTATTTCATTATTGTTCCCTGATAATTTCTCTCACAAGCATCCTTCGTTGTTAATTGGTGGAGCCCAGTAATTCTTGATTTCAATTGACCTGATTTTGATTTTTCTGCCGATTTTCGAATAAAAAATTCCGTTGTCCAAAATTTAATACTCATGGATGCCTCAACCAAGGTCAACGTGCAATTTGCGATTTGAAGAAATAAACTTTTGAAAAAACGACTTCAAGATTTTGAAATATTCAATAGTTTCTTAAAGGAATCTTCCACGGACCATGGACCAGTGGGCGGGACCGGAAGTTTTTGTGACGAAATGCATGGTAGGTACGGATCCACGTGTCGAACGCACGAACGTGAACAGGATTCACTTCAAACCTTCCCATGAACCTTCCCGCCCACTGGTCCATGGCCGTGGAAGATTCCTTTGCTTAATTCTCATAGGTCGGTTCTTACCTTGACACAGTAAATGGGAGGAGCCGGACAGTGAACACGGCGCAATCTCCGCCCACACTGTCAAAGCAATATTTGAAGATATTTAGCAGTCTCTTTTGCTGTATTCATGCTGTTCAACCCAACCATATGACCAAGCACTGCCCAAGAACTGCCGCATCTAAGGCCCTTGTTTGTCCAAAATAACCCTGTACCGGTCAACATAAAATGGACCGCCAGGACGTAAGCAAACCAGCCCTTTTGGCGCTTCGGCTGGGACCGTATGCTGAATGTTGGGGAGGGGATGGAGTCCCGACGGTGGACGGACCACTTCAACTCGGTCCTTAGAACCGCCACAATTTGGTGCTTACCTCAGAACTAAGCCTTAAAGAGAGGACGGGTCCGTCCCCTCTCCAAGGCTTAGTCCTGGGGTGAGCAAACCAGCCCTTCTGGCGGAGCTGCTGGACCAGCTGCACCACTTGCGTCAGTACTCTCCTATCGTACCAACCGAGTTGAAGTAAACCGTCGACCGGGGGTCCCCATCCCCTCCCCAACATTCAGCATACGGTCCCAGCCGAAACGCCAAAAGGGCTGGTTTGCTTACCTCATCGCTACATGGTTGATTGGAGCTACGTGGACGTTTTTGAACAAAAAAGATAATTCAGAATCCAAAAGGCAGCTCATTTTGGAGCGCCTTGGAGGGTAAAATGCTCATATCGTAGAAGTGGCCTGCAAGACCATTTTGTATGTCCACATAACTGAATAACTTTCTAAAGGGTCCAGCTAAGCACCAAAATCGTGGAAATTCGGGCTGGGAGGGGGCACCCTTTGTGTTCGCCAGTACTCACGGCAACAATGAGAGGGCTCGGGACACGTAACCGATCATTTGAAGTGTGCTTCTGAAATGTACCGGTGTAGTTTAGCAGTATACCTCGTGAGATGGTTCCCACGGCCACAAGTAGTCCAACCGTCCTGGGAATGGAAGCTTGCCTCATTTCCGAAGAGGAGGAGCTCCGAGGGGTTTATGCCTTGTTGCGGAAAGTCGGACAGGATGTGAGCAGGAGCGTGTTTAGAAGTGGCATTCCGATGCGCACTTCAATAGTCGTCAACATATGTTAACCTCGTAGCCGTTGGTCTTAGCAAGCTCGAATGAGCGCTATCTGGAGTTAAGAATAACACATCAAGAAGTACCCCCCCCCCGAATTGGATTTGCACCCCGGAATCAACCTGTTTCGGCAGAGGGTTAAGCCGTCGATGTAGAACGAGACCACATTTTCTCAATCAGTCGTAGTGGGAAGTCTTGTGGGAAAATGTCTGCTGCATCGGTCTACGATGCATTCACGACTCGGCGAGATTGACGTGCGCAACCCGACACCACCGGGCAGCACTCCAAAATCCGTCACGTCTCTCAAGCGATCCCCGAGGGAAGCCGTCGCGGCGAGGTTCAATAGGTCGTGATAGGCGCTGGCGCTGGCGCGGTTTGATGAATAGCGCGTCCCGACGGGCTTCCTCATCCTCTCCTGTCAAACTACCGTATCATGCTCAGCTGTTTTTGTAACAATGACGAATATCCCCCGTGTCGAATTTCCGCGCAATTTCGTAGATGTTCTTTTGTAAAAAATCGCCTAAATTCTCTTTTCTGCTGTGTGGACTGAGCGTGACTTCTGTTGTGTCTTCACTTGGACAAAGTCCCCCCTAGGCTCGAAATCCCCGTTTTTGTTAGCGCGTATTGATTTGCTCGTCCCGACTGTTACTATTTTGTTTGTGTTCCAGAGCACCGCTTTTGCCCTTGACCGGTTTTTGATGAACCAAAAAACACCGATCGCGCATCGCTCCCTGTATTCCTTAGGGAGCAGAAGGATTTTTAGATAAGGCAAAGGGCTGAAAATGACCGATGTATGGGAGGGCTTTTTGATCGTTGGTTTCGAAATTGAGAAGACTTGATTGTTCGGGATTTTCGAAGCGATAGGGGCTTTTATCCATGCAACGTCATTCAAAAGCTTACCCATCCACATTTGGTGTGATTTTGGCGTGGTCTTAGCCCCGCTCAGTTAGTAAAATAATGCACTGATCAACTTTAAGCTATACCCTTGAGATGCGCCATGCATTCGTTCTCCATTCTAAATTGTAGCAGCATTTGAATGCGTAATGGACTAATGCAACAGCTGCGGGCCAGCCAACTTCACTGCAGTGTTGTACTTGAAGACCAAAGCGCATACAACCTTATTCAACAGGAGGAAAGAGAAGTTTATCGGCATACCGTACTGCAGTACCGTACTCCAATATGTAAGTATCTCCCCGAGACGTTTGTGCAACCAACGTGATGCTCTTGCTTTTAATCAGTGCTATGAAATGGTCGGCCTGGTGCGGATGGTGCGTGTGCCAGTGGCGCCTCCTGCCTAGGCCCCACTTTCACCCATGTCAGGTTACCCATCTTCTGGTTACCTCCACAACTTACTTAATCACGACTTTTCGGTCTACACTTAAGGAATCGTTCACGGAAAAACCTTTTATCTCACCCATAAATCATTGGCTCGAGACCCTTCCTCACATGAGAACGAAAAAAAACTTGCGTTTGCTCTGGTAAAGAATTCGAAAAGTGCTGAAGGAGCTTTTTTTCGTTCGTGCCCTTGTCTCCGCCCTGCCTACCGCGACCGTCCCAGAATGTGGTTTTCGTAGTTTGTTTCTCTTCGGAAACTGAATCTTCTTGCGTGAAACTTTGTACATTGTCTCTAGGATCACAACTGACGTACTCATACTGGGAAAGAATGCAAGAGTTTTCCGTGAAGGATTCATTTAACGTTGGCTGAGCCGAGTGGTGAAGCGCCGTCGTCCAGAAAAAACGCGCCAAAGTCAATACCAGTTTGATAATGTTGTTACACGCACTTCGTTAGAGTAGTTGAAAGTTGATAAAGACGATTCGTCGAAAAACCCTTAACTGAATCATCTTCGATTTTGACGCGTTATTTTTATCGCTATCCCAACTTAACATTTTTTTCGAGTTTTTTTTTTTCTGAAGCAGTGTTACACCACCATGGCGTTCTCTATTCTTGTTAGATTACTGACCAACTTGGATGCGCCACGCCCTCGTTTCCCATTGATAATAACAGAAGTGTTGAGTATTTGCATGTTCAAAACCACGGCTTGCAGTGCTCCATTAATTCGTTGGCGTTTTTCATCCTACAGAAAACCGGATAAAAATCAACGCATATGAAAGATTGGGTCCTAGTCGAATGGGTGGAGTGGTTGATGCCTGCGGATTTGATCAACCGGTCACATTTTTCTGACAGACCACCATGACATCTCATGTCGTTGAATTTACGGACAAATGTGCTGTCCATTGCGTTGTTCTTTACTTGGTTCAAGTGAACAATTGATTTATCGACCAATTATTAATCCATGCATTCACTACTACTATCGATTGATGAATTATCGATTAGTGAGTTGACGTTGGCAAAATAAGTCAGGCACTCACTAAAGGGAGAACTTAAAACTGGTTTGCTTTCAGATATGTGGACGGTTTAACGGGCGAGGTGCTCGCAAGATCTCCACCGATTCGTATCACCAACAGGGCACGTTTGATAGTTCAAGGTGAGCGAACTTCTCGTAGGCACATCCAGACCGCTGAATGTGGGTAAAGGGCTTCAAAATTGAAATTGTAGGGGTGACGTGGCTCACTAGAGGGCCCCAACTAAAGCCCTATTTGCAGTTAACCTTGAGCTTTGCATAAGATTTGCGATGAAAGACGAAACGCCTTGTTAGAGACCAGACGACAAAGAGATGAGAGAGTGTAGGTACCAGTGAGACGCCGACACCACCTGCAACGTCAATTTGAAGGCGGAGTCTCGAAGAGGAGTGAACTCACGGGAGCAACTCTGGACCATTGTGGCCATATTTTATCTTTCTTTTCCTGGCTAATTCTTTCCTTGCGGTTGACGCTGCTGACTTTTTCACATTGGTGCAATC